GCTTGGGAAGTCAAGCCATGCTTAACACCTCCGGTTTTTCCTGCCGGGTTTGTTGACACTATCGCTTCCACTCTTTAAGAAAGCAGGTTTGTAGATCAGCTTCGGTTTGCTAGCCCTTCTTGTGGCGGGCACGCTAATTCACTAAGTCAACAAGTCAATAAGTGGCGTCCTGCCTGTTTTGCTTTCTGGCGGATTGTTTTCTTGTGAAATTTGTGTGCTGCTGAGGCGTTCTCAGACGATTTCTAATTCCGGATGTGCAAGTAATACAAAGATTAAGCTTGGGGGTCCATGTTATGCTTGCCACTCCTTGTACTCTTATTTCTGGTGATGCAACCACCTCTATCCGGGAGGTGTAAGCAATACAAGGCTTAGTAACGTGAATCCAGGGTCCAAGGCACTCTCGTGTCACGATTCGGACGTATGATCAATCTCAAATCTGACGACGCCAGGTAGGCGCTATCGTCGCTGGTTGCCACCAGTGTTTTTAATACACTGCTAGTTGACGCACACTCTTAGTCGTAGTCGTGACGCAACCACTCACAAGCCCCAGAATAGAAATGTCGCCATCACCAATAACAAGCAATTTCCCATGCTGTCTCCACGTGAGCATGAGTGAATGTTGTTGTACCCTTTATGTTCTACGTGATCATTAACTCCAGGAGGTGCAAGTAGTGCAAGGCTTGGGGAGGGCCATGTTATGCTTAACGCTTCCTGGGGTCATACCAGGATTGGTGAGATAGTGGTATGCTGTCTTTACCAGCGCATGCATACTGCAATTCAGGAGGTGCAAGTAATGCGAAGCTTTGGGGGGGCCATGTTATGATTAACACTTCCGGTATTCATTTTCCTGGTTTCGCGACCATCTCCATCCCGGAGGTGTAAGCAATGCAAGGCTTAGGGGGGGCCAAGTTATGCTTTACACTTCCTGGGCTCATTCCAGTGATAGCTGACATACCCAGTGACAAGTCTTATTACTGAAATGAAATAGGGTAACGTGAGTCTAGGGTCCAAGGCCCTTCTATACCACCATCCGGACATACGACCGCACATCTTACAGCGCCAGTTCCGAATTACCGATGCTGGTAGGGACCACTGGTGCTACCAGTTTTTCGATACACTGCTAGTGGACGCAGGATTTAGTCCGTGTCATGACGCAACCATCCACAACCCACAGAATAGCGGTTTCGCATGCTGTCTCCACCGGAGCATGTGTGGATGTTGTCGTAGCTGTTATGTTTGACGCGATTATTAACTCCAGGAGGTGTAAGTAACGCAAGGTTTAAGGGAGAGCCATGTTATGCTTAACGCTTCCTGTGTTCATACCAGGATCTTGTGGCCAACTTCCCACGCCGAGAAGGACGTGATCGGGAATCACTAATGCCTCCATTGGCGGCCATGACTTTCATCGACGCAATAATGCATTTGAACCAAGCTTTCGTTTTTATAAAAATGCCTGGCAAAAAGGCCACCTGGAGAGGGCCATATGCAGAACATAACGCCTATGAGCAATGCTTTTGTTTTGTCCCGCCAGCGTGGATCAACCTCCTCCCTCATGATAAGAAAAGATATGACGGAGATCGTGAGCAAGAGGACTGGTGACCCATGCAGAAGCCAAGTAGACCGAGAGCAATACGGCATTTCGTCTTGACAGACAAAGCGCAAACCAAGCATACTGCACTCCAGGTGGGAACCTGAGTTCTTGCCTGGCGCAGTGTGCAAAGCGTGCAGATCTGCCTGAATGGACGAAGCTGCGCTGCTGTGGACGCATGTATTAGTCCGTGTCACGACGTAACCATCCAGAACCCACAGAATGCATTGATAAATATAAAGCTCCAATTGAGCAGACAAACAGGAGGAGCATTTCTCAGGTTCAGCCCAATGAACTGCACGCTCTACGCATCGTTAACTCCAGGAGGTGTAAGTAATGCAAGGTTTAGGGAGAGCCATGTCATGCTTAACGCTTCCTGTGTTCATACCAGGATCTTGTGGCCAACTTCCAATGTCGAGAAGGACGTGATCGGGGAATCACTGATGCCTCCATTGGTGGCCATGACTTTCAACAAATTGCCTGCCAACAGTGTCTAAACCTTTCGCTGCAAGTGAGCTGACCCGGCTGCGAGCCTCAGCTCCTGGCCGGTGTTTGGCGCGTCGGTGGAGCGGGAGCCGATTGGCGCCCAGGTGAGAACCTTAGTTCCTCGCCTGGCGTGAGTCTGCACTCAGCCAATCTTGTACAAAGTGGGCGCAAAGTACCATGCTAGGTTTTTCAATGTTTCACTATGTTTCACAAGGGCCATGCATGCAAGTGGATAGCGACTCATGAATGACAGTTCTATCCATCTTATTTTGCATTTCGCACACTTTCCACGCTCCTACTGCCACTAGTTCTCAGGAGCCTGCTGGACGGGTGTGCGCCTCCTCCCTCTGCTGAGGGAGGTCCGCAGGGTGCCTTCGTGAGCATTCGCATGCAATGTCCTGCACTGAGATTGCCCGCTGCCGGCCACAGTCGCCTCAGTTAGTGCAACTGTGTGGAATAGTTGTGCCCTGATGCAGGCTGTTTTCCAAGGCCTGACCAGTATTGCAATCGAAAAAGACCAGGACGGCTACAGTCAGTAAGCGCCAGCAGATGCAGTCAACCACTCGAAATTGGCCAGGGTACTTACAACCCAAACCTTGCAGGGGCAGACTTGTCCCTTGGCACTCCTAGAGCATACTTGGAGTGGCCTGCATGGTTTGCAGTACGCCAATGCCTTCCTGCGTCATAGGTAAGAACAGCAGATAACCGATAAATTTCGAGAATTCAAGGCCCGAGTATATAAACAGCTGAACATTCTTTCATGTTTCACCGGTTTCACTTTAGAGTACAGCGCGAAACTCTGCTAGTTTGTTTTGGGGGTGGTGTGTTGTGGTTCTGTTTTGGGGGGTTTGTTTTTGGTTTTGTTGCCTTTGTTTTGGTTTGGGTGTTTGTTTGTTCCCTCACAAACATGCAGAGTCTCCATCCTTCTCTTGATGACCTGTGCACACCGCACACATGGCGTCCGAACTCGTGCAAAAAAAGAGTGATCGACCATGGATCACAGCTGGACGAACAGCAAAGGCAGCCCTTGAAGTTGAAAGAAGGTTCAGTGCTGTGCGACAAATGCAAGGATAAGCTTCCAAGTTGGTGTTGGAACACCACAATGAATCATGAAACATTGATCGCATAGAGGGTGAAGAGCTGCATGTTCCTTTCTTGATGTGTTTTTTCCCTCACTGTTCCGGGAGTCAAATCGCATCGTGAGACACACCGGCCATTAAGGTCAGATGCCATGCACGAGCACATCATCAACCAGTCTTTGCAGGCTTGTCCTGCTTCCGGTGGATCGGAAGGTGTGCCTGGTAGCGACAGTTTGCTGAAAGAACATGCACCTCAACATGTCAGCTTGCAGTTGAAGTCGACACGACATGTGAGGAAACAATTTGAAAGGGTGCTAGGAGGGGAAATTGACACTTGAGTGCAAGCAAATGTTTTTGGGCTCCATTTTGTTTTTTTTGTGTATTTTTGCTGGCAATGTGAATGTCAAGCCGAGTGCGCTGTCCTCCGGTCTCTTGCTGGGTCAATCACAACAAGAGCCGTGAACTGGAGTTCAGGGTTGTTGCAGAGAAGATTGTGCGCAGGGTTTGCACCGACTTGGGCGTGAATGTTTCTTATGGTCTTCGAGTTGCTGCAGCTTTGTTGAAGGAGTGTGAAGGAGTGCTGCAGACGACATCTCAACTTTTGTTAATATTACAGTGGTGATGCAAGTTCTGGAATGGAAACCTGGGAATTTTCCGCCAACGCCGTGTCGTTCATGGCTTTCTGGAAAATTTTTTCGTGACAATTCTTCGTTCAAGGAACTCAGCAGGGATGATGAAACAGAACCTATAAAAGTGAACCTGTGTGATGTCAACATTTGTCGTAGGGATGCTTCCTCTCTGTCTGTTGTTTTGGAGTGCATGTTGCTTCAGTTTGTGGTTGAGTTGAGCTTGGTGAGCAGTTGCTGAGTTTGCGGTGGAGGACTGTTGGACGTCAAGGTTGGAAGTTTCGTTGATGAGCTTAGCTTTAAAAAACAGAACAAGACAGGAGAAGAAGACAGGAGAAGGACATTTTAGAAGAGATGTTTTTTCCATGTGAACTTTGTTTTTTCGTTTGAACCTCAAACTCCATTTGTCACCCTTGATGCTTTTGACGCTTGGTTGTTTGAGCACAAAGTGGATGGACTATTTTTTCGGGTTTTGAAGACTCTTGGAAGTGCGCTAACAGTGGTTTTAAAAGGTTTGAAGAACCTTGGAATGGTTTTGTGCAATTTTAGTTACAACTGTCGCCCCTTGGCTCAAGTGTGCGGCAGAAAAGACGCGGTGCAAGTGTTTTTCATTTTTTTTGTTTTCGGCTCGGTCTTCGTGTGTGCACTTGACTTGTGTTGCCTGGTGACAGCTCAGGGATCGGGATGTCGATCGAAGATTGTGATTGCTGAAAAGTGTAACAAATTGTGTAAAATATGTTTTGGTTTTCACACATTGTTTGTGAACTGTTTCATTTCAGTTGCGTGTCACCTGTGTGTTACGTGAACGCTGCGTTTCCTCAGCCTCTCTGTTTCTTTAGCGCCGTGGGGCCTGACCTCAATACGCACCGCGAAAGGAAAGATTGGTTTTCACAACGAGTGGTTTTTGGAACGCAGGTTTCGAAAACCGTTTTGTTAGCAGTTCAACATTCATCGATCCCATTTTGGTTGGAGCCTCCGAGACGTCAAGGCAAAGTTTTTGCAATATTTATCATCGCGATTGGTGTGCGGGAGGTCGACCTGGATACACGTGTCCAATTTGCACGTGGCCCACTGTCGAGGGCCAAGAGGCCGAAGAAGACTTGATCGCGAGCTACTTCTCGGTTGGAACTCAAGAAAAGGAATCCTCACCCAGAAAAAAGAACCCGCGCCAAATCGACAAGATCGTTGCCCCGTGTGGTTAGTAGTTTTGATAAAGAGTCAGTGTTGTCCTATTTGGGTTTTGTAGTTCAAAAGATGCCTGTATAGTGAAACACTTTCTACCAGGCGCCAGGCTGATCGAGGTGGTGTGAGCGTTCCACAAGTGGACACAGGTTTTTTTTGGCTTTCGGTCACCCCTTGTCGAGTTGGCAGAGTTGGCACTCTTTTGGCCATGATATATATAGGGCCCAGGAGAAGTCTCCATTGTCCGCCGTTTCCGCTGCTTTCAGTGCTCGAGTCAGGTGAAAAACGCCACGCGCCGGTTCGCCAGTGATTGCCACGCGTCCATGGGGATTGCCAAGCGCATGTTCAGCCCAAGCATGATTCCAACCCATGAGAAGGACGGGGGCCCTCTTGGGTGTACCACTGAACAGAACACATTGTACACATTTTGTATGTGTGTGTATGTTATATATGTATATAAGTGCGGCAAGGTGTCATCCTAACGTTGATTCACCTTGATTCGTCAATCCTTCATTGTTGGGGGTGTTGGTTCTCTCAGTGACGCGGGGTGAAAACAGCAAAACGTCGTTGAACGTGTTCCTGATTGATCGTCCATTTTGACCTTGCAAAGGCGCCTTGTTCGCTTGTCCATGTGGGTTTTGGGGGCTGGGCGCCTTTGGCAAACTGCACCCCACGCTGCCGATGCCCCCGTTCTTTCAAGTGATTGCATCGTTCGTGCTAAAATCGAAGGTGAATAAGGCCACGTCTCATAGAAGGCCATGAAGTTCTTCACTGCCTTTGTGGCGGGAGCGTACTTGGTTCGGATTTTCGGGCCTGGAGGACGACCTCTCGGACAGTGAGTCCTCGTCCGACATGGACGTGGAGAGGCCTGAAGCATGAGATGTGCCGTGGCGGGGGCGTTTTCCTTTTTGCCATGAGCTTTGGTCGTGCTGAAGACGTGCGTGGACAAACCCCGCGGAACGAATTCCTGTGAGGATTGAAGAACACACTTTTTTCTGTTTATTCCATAACATCACAATCTCCTTCAAATCATTCAACCCATGTTGGAGTCCCCACCGACAAGCTGGTGCAGAACATTATTCCTTCCGACCTCCGGACCTTTCGGACCACCGAGAGGAGAAGACCATTCTTTTAGTGACTCAAGAGGGGTCAACACACTGAGTGTTCTGTGGTTGGAAAGTGGCCACCAATGGAGGGAGGATCCTTTTCCGAATACCAAAAAGGTGGTGGCTTTCCACTTCCATGGTGGATTTCAGGGAGTGTACATTTTTCTTCGCCCATGCATGTTGGTGTCTTTTGGACTATGTGGGGTCACCCTACTTTTGGTGCAGGGAGAACGCTGACGAGCAAGAAGAAGAGGCTCCAGAGGCGATGCACGGTGTTTCACGGTGTGGCCACGCAATTTTGAGACCATTTCCAGCCGAAGTCAGAAGTAAACTGGTGTAGCGAGAACAACCGTGCCCTGTTTTGGTAGGTATAACTTGGGTGATCCCGCTACCCCAGATTACAAACCTTTGTTCCGGTTTTAGATCCGCGACAGATCTCGACTGGAATGTGGGGTGAGTTCGACAAGTTTGTTGCGGTAGATCCGCCCAATGGTTCGACTCGAGGGCGACCACATCACTGGGAACCGACCATGGACCCTGCGACCGTTCGGAACTGTGATATGTGTTCGGAACTTCCATGCGCATCACGCGCTTTCTTTTTTGAAAGACAATCCAAATACCAAGCAGTTGAGATCAACTGGGAAGGTCTATCCTTGAATACATTACAGTATATATATAATTACAGCACACATTCTGAACGTATATTTATTTACCAATCGGTCTGAATATCTTGCATATCTTATATATTTGCTGCAAGATCATAATATGCGCATCTATAATTAAATAGATAAAATAGATTAAACAATACATATCAACAAATACATAGATATGCATATACGCATAGATGGACGGACCGACGGATGGACAGACAAACAGGACCAGACAGCAGACAGGACCACACCAGACCAGACCAGACCAGGCAGCCAGCCAGACACAGACCAGACCAGACCAGACCAGCCAGACAGAGCAGTAGCATAGCCTAGCAGTAGCCTGGAGCACAAATCCCATCCAATCCAGTCTTTTCGCTCATTTCACGACCGTCGTCATTGGAGTCGCTCTCCGAAACCGGACTTTGGGCTGGCAGGAGTTGCTGGTTCTCCCCGGACAGACGGACCTGCGCGACTGGATGGTCTTCAAGAACGGCGTCCTGGAGTTTGCTTCGCGTCGCGTGGAAGACTTCACAGCCGATGAGGACCGGGGATCTGATGGTCTTCGGATGGGATGGACCGGGGATGGGAGGGAGGATCCGGACGGACAGCAAGTCGGTTTCATTGTGTGGTATGGTGTTTGATCTTGGGCCATGCCAGCTGAATTTGCTTTAAAAGCACATGACACTACTGCAAGTGTGCCTGCCAAACAGGGTGTGATCCCTTATTCTTTGAGACACCCAGTCTCTTGATAATGCAGCTGACGAAAGGCGGTTCGAGGATCCAGGGAACTCTGGGTGTGGTCGTCCAGGAAGCCGCCAGAGACATGGGCTTGGATTTCAGCATGAAGGACTTGCAGATGGAGATCGAGGATTGACCAGTTTGGGGAACAGACGTTGGATGACATGTGGGGCTTGTTTGGAGTGCGAGGTTTCATTCCTTCTTTCGGGATGCAGATATTCTTTTTGTTGGTGGTCGAGGAGGGTTAGTTTGTGCATTTGTCTATTGTCACATTGTCTTTTGGTTTGAGTGGCTTTTGTCTTTGTAGCAGAGTGCTACGCAGACGAGATGGACACACTCGAGCGACATTCGAGCCTTTTGCACCAAGTCAAGTTGTTTGCATTTGCCCCAAGAATACACCATGCTTGGACCGATACATATGCGTCTCACGATAAAACCTCCCCTCTGATTCTAGCCCTTCCAATCTACATTCGAAAGCTTTTTTCTTGACCAAGGGAGAAGCACATCACATCTACCACCTGAGCCGTCCGCGCCGCCATCGGCCTGAACGCCGGTTTTTTCTTCCAAGCACGCGCGGTGGTGTCCCGAACGCCAGGAGCCCGAGGAGCCCGAGGAGCCCGAGGCCAGTCTCGAAGAGGCCGATGAAGAGGCCGCCTTTGGCATGGGCCTGGACCTCACTTTGAACCCCCCAGAGACGGCACCACCTGCCGAGACGCTGGGCACCGCCGAGACGCCGGGCGCCGCGGAGACGCCGCAGCGGCCGCGGCGCCGCTCCGCCACGGCGCTGCCGGAGGAGGCGGAGGTGTCGCCGGAGAAGCGGCGGCGGGTGGCACTTGAGGTGCTGGAGCAGGTGGTGGACAAGCTCACGGTAGAGAAGCTGAGTACCAGTTTGGAGCCTGATGCTCCAGTGGCTGAAGTGATGTAGCTCAAGGGATGTATTTTAGTGTTTTTTGGAGGCTTTTCTTGTGAATGGAATGGATTCAAGGTACATTCCCCGTTGAAGATGGTGTTGGATGACTGTTCCAGCCTCTGTTCCAGCTGCGCTGGCGACTGCGAAGCAGTTTGGGAACTGTTTTCGTTTGAGGTCGTCTTTCTTGCGGCCAAGCGAGAGGCATATTCGGGACATTTCCTTGACCTGTGCTGGGGAAACCCTGGTGAGTCTTGGGCATCTGAGAAGGGGCGAGTCTTGGTATCTGGCATTCCCAGCGAATGTACAAAAGAGCAGGCCGCTGGGCTCTTTTTTGGAGCGGGGCAGGCCGCTGGGCGTTTTCTCCAATCTTGGCAACCTTGGCTGAGTGTTTTGTTTCGGCAAGGAGGACGTGGGGTTGGGCCTTGCTCCTCCATAGCACTCGAGTTTGAGTTCTGCAGAACTAGGAACACGTGGATTCACAGTGAAGATAGGCCTCTCTCTCTCTCCCTCTCTCTTACACCCTATGCCGCATGCCGTGATCAGCCAAACCAAGAGGGCATGAACATCTCAGGTGAGGGTTACACATTCAGCCGGGATTGCATGCACGACGGAAAGGCCAACACATATTTGAGTCCTGCTCCAGCTTCCATGGCAAAGAACATAGTCACTTATTCACTGTTGGCAAAAAGGCACCATGGCTATCATCGTTTTTCTCCAGTAACTTCCTTTCTTTAGGATCTTGTTCTGGTCACACTCATTCTTTTCTTGCTCCGGCTCCATGGCAAGACACCGGCTCCAAAAAGCCAGACCACCATCATCCCATGGCTCCAAGAACCGCAGAAAACCGCAGAAAACTGCAGAAAACTGCAGAACCAGGCATGTTCATCAAACCTTCCTTTGGAACTCGGAGACGGAGTCCACGGAGATCCGCCGTCCAGTCTTCCGTGCGAGTCGCGTTCCTCCGCGCGCCCTCCATGGGATTCCTGGAGACCTCGGGGTGGGGCGGCCGAAACGACGCGTTGGGTCTTCCCCCCCGGTTGGGGCTGATGCACTGAGAGTGAGAAAGAAGGGTCCAAAGTAGCCTCTCATAGCTCAAGATTCTGCGACTCCATGTCCAGCGACGTACAGAGCTGCGACGTACGGTCAAAGAAGCTCAATCCTTTAAGGTTTGTGGATCCTTAGGTTGTGGGGGCTCCCTTCACCACCGTCACACAAAAGCAGGGATGACCCACATCAAGGGCTTAAGGAAGGATTCACGGGCTTTCTCATAATTCATGTAATGGTGACCACAAGAAAACGAATCCAGCGAATCCTCACACAAGATCTGCTTTCTTGGCCGGCGGACTCGCTGCCTGCGTCCTTCGACCCGATGCGTCCTCATCCTCCGCCTCGATGCGTCCGGCTGGGCGGCGCCGATCCGCATCCGAAACACCCCGAGCGGATCTCCCGAGCGGAAAGAGCGGGTTCCGAGTGGTCCGGAAAGTGGTCCGGTGTCCAAAAGCCTGGAGGACTGGGCCGTAGCTTTCGAGTCAACATCTAGGTAGGCAAAGCCCCAGAAGCCTCTTAAGAGTGTCTTAGAATCTAAGGCTCTTTGTGGATGCACCTTGAGCTGGAAACCATTCTCATAATGTCTCCTTTGCCTGACGCCCACAGAATGATGTCAATTGGACCTGGGTCATGCAACAGAACGTGTTCATGCTTGCCATAATGGCAGCCAATTGTCGCGCTCGGGCAGGAGACCACCCCCCTGGGGTGCCGCATCGTCTTTGGGCTCTGTGGTGGCCGCTGGGATGATTGGACCGTAAGTCCCTTTGAGTGGGCTGCAGCGGTCAAGAACGGGGACCTCCCCTGCTGTCTGATTTTCGAACCAGTGGTGACTATCAAGGGTGGTGAAGCACAGCTTCACAGCCCACTCATGGGTGGGAGACTATAGCCACTGGCAAAAATTTATGATGTTGATGCTCAGGATACTACTTGCTCTACCTCTTGGATCATCATCTATTCGTGGGGCTGAATGTCGCCTGCGCCCCAGCAAATCAAGTGTCCAACATCAAAGTGGTTAGCCTCCCCACTTTGCAGACCTTCAAAAAAAACCAGGAGAAACCAGCAGCAGACATGCACTATGCAGTTCGTCAATTTCATGCAGCAGTTCAAGTGCCCTGTGGCTGATCTGCGACCTCGTCGCCAGGTCTGTCGGCCTCGGGACGTGTTGTTCGGCTGGCAGCTGCAGCGTCTACTGCAGGCCTCTTTCGTGTGGAGCCCCGGGGAGGCAAGGCCATTTCCGGGTCCAAAAAGGCCAAGGATTCGAAAGAAAAAACCACGCCACCCGGGGACCATACCCCCATGTTGCTGTTGGTTTGCTTGCTGGTCGGAACCAGTTCGCGTTCTTTTCTGCGCTCTCCGACTTCTTCGGATGCCCCGGGCGCTCCCCGCGCGTTTCACCACCCACGGAAACCCGGTCGTTGGAGATTCCGGACGAGGTGACGCCGCTCGTGCCCGGCCGCAAAGGCCCATAGCAGCTTCCTGGGCCTACTTCTGGCCTTGCTGGTGAGCAGAGACCCCGGTGGCTGTGACGGTCTCGTGATTTTCACGAAGCGAAGACCGTGGTGGTCACGGATCTGTTTGGGTGTGTGTGGAGAGAATAGAGGGTCGACCCCTTTCCAAGCCGCTGCATTGAGCCATAGGCTTTTCTTCTTTCAGGGTGTTTTTGAGGGGTCTCTGCTCCAGTTCTTGGGAGTTGGCGCGACTCTTCTGAGGTTGGAGGCGGTTTGCCTGGCTCGAAAACCGAGCAGGCGGGGCGGCAGAGATCAGACGCAGTTTTTCAAGGAGACTTCTATGCAGGTCAGACGGTCAGACCCTGCACCCTTTTTAAGGGTGTCAGGTACAGAAACCATCCCAGTACTCGCTCAATGTCTTTGGCTGAAGCCCAGGCACCGTGGCCTTTCTGGGCTGGTTTGTGATGAGCTCTCTGATTCTGCGGCTTGGCATCCACGTAAAATTTATCGGTCGAAGAGACACCCATCTGGGGTTGCGGGGATCGAAGACAGGTGGGTCTGTGGATCTGAACTTCCGGAGATCATTCATGTGACACCATGAGGTCTAGGTACATCATTGTTAATTCAGTGAGCTTTGAAGTAAACTAAAGATGTGGTCGGGGTCATCTACGGTTTTCGGTCTGTTGTAATGGTCTTGTTCGCATGGACGGCGGAGTTTGGTGCTTGGTGCTCCAAATCTGCGAACCCACCCCGGTTGGGTTGGTCTTGTTCCGTATCGTCAACTGAGAGCAGTCCCCTAAGCTGGCGTTTTCTCACTGGTCATGGTGATAGTATTGGAAAGATCCTTCCACGCTTGTGGAAACATGTGCAGACGCCGTATCCGATTGATCTATGTACCGGTAATCTGTGCAAAAAGAGACACCTGTCAACATCAATACGACGCTTGCTTTGTACTTTCATCTTGGGGCTCTGCCTTTCCATGACCCCGCAGCGGTACATTTGTTCAATGCACGCTGACCCCAGCGGTCCATGCACTCGCCAAAGAAACGCGCCTCTGCAAGCGTGCAGGCACAGTACCTATTGCATGGTGGCGTTCCTCTCCCAGCACCTTTGCTTGGCGGGTTGAGAGTCCGACACGGGAAGCTGAAGAATGGAGAGACGACGGATGTTCGTTTTAGAGCTGAAGAGGGACGTCCGTCTCTGGAGAGGTCTGGGTTTGGTCTTGGCGAGACCCCCAGCGCTTGCCTGGTTGAACTCTTTACGTGTGCCTGTTGTTGCTCCCTTGGCGGACCAGAACCAGGGTTTTGTCCCTGCAACAGGTCTGCTGTTTCACCTGGTGGTGCGTGTTTCAGCTTAGCCCACCTGAGTCTTCTGGATTTCAATCCTGCACCGAGAGGGTGGTGGAGTGGCCTGGGCACCGTGATTTTGCATGCTCCTTGGAGACCCAGAGATGAAAGTATGGAGAGAAGCCTCCAGATGAACTCTGGGCTCAAGTTCCAAGGACCTTGGCGGTTTGGGCCACCCCCCCAACCGCCACACCTGCCAGCCCGACCGGGGTCTTCAACCCACGCAAAACGAAGCCCTGGGTCGGGAGTCCCCCGGAGTGAGGCCTTTCTTGGGGCAGTGGTTGATGGACAGCGAGGCTGGGTAGCCATTAGCCATTGGCCTCACGTTTGGAATCTGCAAGAGATGGGGAAAGGGAGGTGAGGCGAAAAAACGTGGAGGAACCGAAGATGTAATTACTTTTGCTGCACAAGCTCACACACACACACATGCTACAAAATCATTTGCAAGTTGATGGAACATGGCCAAGAATCTCTGGTGCCATTTCATGCCAGGTCTTGCTGTTTTGGCCACCCGCTTCCTTTGGAGAAACTTCTCCCAGGTCCATGGCCTCTACCCGGTGCTGGTGGCGAACTTGGTCTCCAGTCTCAAGGTCCGGTGGGCGACACTCCGTGCGGACGATGCCCTCCAAAACCAAAGGACCCGTGGTCCTACCACGGTCCCCTTTTTTTGGTGAAGGTGGCCACGGTGCGTGCGGCACGGTGCGAGCAGAAGTGAAGGCGACCGGTTTGTTGCAGCGTTGGAAGATCCAGGTATGGCCGGATGTTGCCCCGGTGGTCTTGAGTCGATTCTTTGGGGCGGAATCCCCCCGGGAAAGCCGAGGTCTCAGTCGGCTGAAGCAGCGATCCCAAAGTGTTTTGCATTCGGAGAACATGGACCGTTCAGGAGCGAAAAGACCTCCGTCCCGGACGGCGATCGGAGATGGGAACGTCTAAACGTTAAAGTAAAAATACAAGTCCTCTTCTGACTGTTCCATCCCACGACTTGGACTCCGAAATCCATCCCGGCTCGATCAATCCAGCCAGAATGCGTGCGAGACTTGCCAGGACACGGACAGCAGCTCGGTGTGGTCTTCCCTGGCCTGTTTGTGTTGGATGTTTTTGGCTGAAAGGCCATTGCAGTGAAGTCAGCACATGTCTTTCACTGGTGATGCCGCTGCGAATTTTAGAGGTGGTTGGCCCTAAGGTTGATTGCCAAGCCCTCAAGTGGAGGTCGCAAAGGCCACTAGGCAAAAGAGTCGAGAAAGCAAGAATCCACAAAGCAAGACTTGTTCAAGGGAGTGCTTTCTTCAGAATTGCACTAGCGGTGCTGAGCCAGTTGCCGCGCGGAAGATGGAGCCCACTTTAAACTTACTGTAAAGTACTTGCATGTACTACCTACAGTCAACAGACAGAAAGACCTATTGTGGAAGATGGCTTTCGCCCTTCCAAGCTACGTTGATTTGATAGAGACCAGGTCGTTATTGCACTGGTTCGTGAGTGTATGCCTTATTGGGAAGCACCAAAGTATAGGGTGTGCTGTTGTGCGTGATGTAGCTGTTTAGACTGGAGTCTTAATGTTATGTTGGATAAACAAATAGAATATTAACAGATTCTCAGATATATAAATAATTGTGAACCACTTCATGACGCGCAAACACGTTTGATCGTCTGGTTCCTTCACGGGATTTCCTTTGAGATGCTTCATAGCCGAAGAAGTATTTTTGGGCCCCGGCCAAGGAGTCCAGCTTGTCTGCATCTTAAAGAGGCGGTTTCGATGCGCAACAACCCAGGGCAGCGACGCCAGGCTCTGGCCGCTTCCTTTCCACGTGAGCACCAAGCACTTCCCCTTGGCCCGGGCCCCCAGCCAGACCAAGCACCGACACAACGAGTTGAGTCTCTCGAGATTTTGGTCAAACAGATCCCGGCATCACCCGCATCACCCAAGGTGGTGATGACGCTGAGTTGGCTGCTCCATATGGATTCGCACCTCGATGTGTCTGTGAGCTACTTCACCGCAGGCGTTGCACGGGGGGGGGGGCAAGAAGCGTCTGTGGGCAGGGAGCTTTGCTGAGGATTGAGCAGGAGGTCTGCTCCTCCGATTGGAATATCGTTGATATGATGTCCCGCACGTTTATATCAATGATTTGGGTAAAGCGTCAATAAGAAGAGGCATGCCAAGAATCAATGTAATATGACATGATTAGTGTCTATACTTGCGTGAAAAGCCACTAGCTAGCTTCAAGCTAATTGTAGTTGTACTTGTGCCTGACCATGCAATGTGTGCGATTTCGGTCAGTCTGGCCACTTCCCTGCTCAGTGCTGGTGCCTGAGCTCTTCCAAGAGTCTGAGCCCCAACCGTCGGAGCGGAGCGATCAGGTGTTGGGTCTTGGGAGTCTTGGGTCTTGGAGAAGAACATTTGTCCATCGGACTTTTGGACACGGACACCTTAGTTGTCTTGGTGATCCGAGTTCTCTTTGACCTCACCAAATATCTGCTTCCATGTAGTACATGGACCTATTTTTGGAAACCGACTTTGTTCAGTCTTGATGTCGATGACTTCAACGACCTGTCCCTTTCTGCCGCTGTTCGCCTTTCTCCTCGCGCGAAGCGGTCCTTGGGTCGGCTTTGCGCACGGTGGGCTGATGGAGACCCCACAGGTGCCGCCACGCGTCCTGCGGCGCGTGCGCGCGTCCTGCAGAGCGCGTGGCGTCCTGCGGAGGGCGTGTTTTGTGAAGTGGTCTTCAGAAAGAGAGTGGAAGAATCCACAAGCAGGCTGATGCCAATCCTCAGCACCTCGTGGAACAGTACTCTTCCAGCTGGGACCTAGGTTTTGTGTGCCATCTTGGGGGACATTCTTAGGGTTCTGGATGGTCGATTGAGGATTCAATCACCGCAGGATTCTGATAGAAATAAAGAAAAGGAACCCCTGACAACCAACGCGGTGGGCTTTGGGGTGGAACGGCTCCACGGCTCTACGGCTCAAACTCATCAAATCGAAGAGGTCAACGAAGGAATTCATCGGACTTGGTGGCTCCCATGTGGCTTCCCAAGGAAAACAAATCCACCGGACATGCCCAACTCAACACACCTGGAAGTATGGCAATGTGTGTACAGATTGTTTTTTTTACTTTTGAGGGAGAGTTGAAGAGGAGCTCCTGATGTGGATCTCAGATCCAAGACGTCTGAAAAACCCAGGACGTTCTTCACCGTGACTTTTTGGATTCCAAAAAGAACCGGGCCTCCAGAGGGAGAGAGGGAGAGAGGGAGAGAGGGTCTGCAGCTGCGAGGCGCTTCTCCACGAGTGCCGCCGCCGAGCAGAGCAGCGGGAGCAGTTGGGGCGCTGCCGCGCGCGGGCGGTGGGGGCCCTGGTTCGTCACGGACGTGCGATCGTTAGATCTAAGAAGGGCCACATGGCAGGATTTTTTGGGGTCACCAGTGGGCATGTTGCATAAAGGCTCCATGCCTCAACTTCCTTCATTTTTTTGCTTGCTCGTCAGCAAAGGATCCTTGTTGCTTTGTATTTGTCACGTGTGTGTTCGGTTCTTGCGGGATCATAAGACTGCAGGTGAACTGTAGGGGAAAAGAGATGGCGACCAGGTCTAGTTCAGACGAGTGACGAGTGACGATCATGTTGAGGCTGTGTTGGGAGCATTCCCACTTCTCTCTCGCCACCGCCACAAGAGAAGAGGAGCGTCTAATGCTGTCAGCACATCCGGTGCGTCGAGCTAGCCCCCGATTGAGAGCTGGGGGTGGCGAAATCAACACTCTTGACTCCCTCTCAACAGGGTAACAGGATGGGTCAGCAGGAGGTGCATGGAATTGCAATGCTGTAACTCGTTGGATGTCTATATTCTGTTTGTTTGTTGCCGCACCGCAGGCTACGAGTTTTGGATGTTCTCGGTGAAAAAGTTGCCAAAGCGGGAGGTACGTCGTTGACTTGATGACCAAGCGAAAGGGGCTCCAAGCGAAAAGACTACGAACGTAGGCGAACGAGGTTCTCAGGCTGGCAGACACTTCTTGTGATGGTGAGATGAGCTCACCTGCAAGCAGGGAAAGCACCTTCTCAGCCACAAAAACCACAAGATGCCTGAAGACTCCTCCATCGAGATCTTCGTTCTCCATCGTGGGCGAAGGCCTTGAAGGAACCTTCCACTCAGATGAACAGTGATGAACGGATTGGCTCCAACTTGTGCCTGGCCTTGTTGCCGTCTCACTTCCGCCTTCCACGAACCGCTCCTGGGTTTTCACCCGGCGACCGTTGCCCACCGGACCTGGCGGAACGGCTCGCCTGGACCGAAGCAGGCGGAAACAGGCTGGCGCCCTCCATGAGGCCACAGGGGCTGGACCCAAAAGCCGAACCCACTGGAGGGGGCCTGGAACCCGGGGGTTTCGCATGGGTTTCTCGCCGCTCTCCCCATCGGTTTTCACTGACCGGTCGGGCGGAACGGAGCGTCGACGCGTAGACAACGGTGTTCCGGTGGAGCAGGTGGATGTGCTCAGTGCCTTTGGTGGAGAGTTGGCGCAGGAGCGCGTGGAAGGGGCGGCAGGTTCGCCAGTGTGACGCACCGACGGTGGAATGGACCAGGAGGGTGTTGAGCCTTTGAAGATCTTTGAAGTAAAGCCCCAAACAGCCCATTCCGCAGCATCCTTTCCACGACTGTCGCCCAACCTGGTTCGGAACCGCTCGACCGGTCCAGAAGGGTCGCCGGACGAAGGGTCCGGAGGGACGGACAGATCGGGACGGATCTCCCAAGACATGGATGGGGAATAGCTGCATAAGTCAGACTCTCAAACATACTTGGGTGCTAGCTAAGGAGTGATCTGATCACACCTGAATCAAAAGAACAAGAGTCTTGGTGCCTTTTTGAAGATCTAAGCTGCTCTACCAGCGCTCGGCGCTGGTCATGATGTGTGTGCGATTTGCCTGTGGGTCATGGCACCAGGATACCTTGGTTAAAGGTCGTTCGCTACATGGTGGACCAGGGCTCCCGATTCCCGATGACGGGTGAATGAAGCTGCTCCCGCCTCGAGGAGTTGGAAGCTGCTCTTTTCCTCCAGCTGGGTGAGGCCTGGGCCTTCGACTGCATGAAGGCAGACGTGGAGGACGCCCAAATCCGGTGACCGGGGGAGTCTGGTCGGGGCAGCTGCCAACGGCCCGATGAATTGCTTCCACCATCGGCCGTTACGGACGGAAACGCTTCCCGACCCACATGCTCCTCGAAGGGCAGGCCGGAGCAGGGGACCTGAATTTGGATGTGACCAAGCGCGAACCCGGAACCAAACGAACCTGAAGACGACGTGCGAAACGATGTTCTGCGGCCCGCAGACCTGCGGTTAACCAAGGTATCGCTTGTTGGTTGCTCTGAGTGGTCTCATCCACTGAAATGCCATATATAATAGTATATAGCCATTGCTTGTTCGATCAGACATTCAACTCCGTACGGGAGATGATATGTGAAGTGCGAAAAGTGTGTGTCCCATTGGGCCACCACATTAGAGAAACGATGCATGTGCGAAGATGCCGCGGGTTGAGCTGGCTGAGGCCAAGGCATACGGATGCTGAGGGAGGACAGGTGGAGGTTGGTTCGATGTCCACGTTCTCATGACAGGACATCCAGATAGATCTACTGTATGTCGTTTCTGGGTCGAACACAATAGCACCCTTTTCAAGACAAGGCGTGGGTCTTTCAGAAGTTGGTCCAAATTCCGTGATCAACGTGCGAGTTGCTACTGGGGGCGAGCTCACTCCAATTACTTAGCTCGTAGATTCCCTGCAGGTTTGTAGATTGAGGACACCGGTACACGTGCCTTTGGATGGATCTTTTCCAGGCATCAACAGACCAGGACCACAGGATGCTCCTGTGATCTCCATTTCATGATCTTACATGTCATCCGAATCTCTGAAGGCAGATCAACCGCTGCCTCTTTTTGACATCCTTGAAACTCCAGGCTCTCAAGTATTTTAAAGGGTTTGCTGTCGGGCCCGGATGGATTTTCCAGCGGACACCAGTGGAGAGAACCCGGTCCGGACACCAGTGCAGAACGCATTGCGGATGTTGGGGGTTCAGGCCCTGTACGGATTCTCCATGTGACATCCTCAAGTCCAATCGGTTGCACGGTTGATCGCGGTTGACCTGAAGAGCGTCATCTTTTTTCATCGGGTTCACATCGAAATCGATGCCCGGTTTCTCACGCCAGGCTTCCAGATGCAGGCAGGGGAGGAGTGGTAATAGTAATGGAGACGCCCGCCATCCATGGGGTTGAACCGGAGTTTCTGGGATTCCTGGCCCACCCTTGATTCAACAAATGTGAATCCTGAAGAACCAACATATTTTACTCAGGATTTGAGACTACGAAACCAGCTCAATTATTCAAACCATAGTCTTGGAAGGCTAGGGAGAAGGAATGTGAGATAGGAAAGCCGAAAACGCCAGTTGAGGCGACAATCCGACCATCCCATGTAACTTCTTCAGGATTCGCGAACATCGGAACTTGGGAGTGCTTGGAAGCTCTTCTCGGGCTTCTGCGACGGAGCCCGGCGGCGGACGGTTAATTTGGAAGCTTGTTCGGGCGGTCGACAGCCGACTTGGTGGTCGAGTCAAGTCGAGGTGGTGGGATTTCACCAAGCCACTTCGATGGGTGGAAAATGGCTGGATCCGCACCGCTCCGCTCGCTCCGGGGGCACTGGGGGCACAAGGGTTTGGTCAGCCACAGGGGGCAAAAGGCTCGGGTACTTTCTAAAGACCAAAGGCTCGCATGCCACAAGGACGGCTTTTCCTTCCGCCTCCGGTGTTTCCAACCTTTGCGGTCTTTGGTGCAGCCTTTGGACCAACAAAGTGGACGATCGAGCTATGACAGGCGGAGAGCCGAGCCAGTCAACCGCGGCTGTTGCCTCCCAGCTGTTGCAGCACTTTCCTCGTCCTCCAGTGCCACCGGTGCACGAGGAGAGCGCCCATGTATGTCGGGGCTTTTTGGAAGACCTTTGCGTCGGGTGGAGGGGATTTTACAGGTGGAAGGTGGATGTGGTTGGTGTTTCCAGGTGTTTCCAATCTCCCACTTTCCACCATTTTTTTTCCCCAAACAGTTTACTGTTGGGGTTCTATCTTAGGAAAAAAGAGCTGGCCACACTCACTGGTCGCGCCCCTGAACTCTGTGGCTGGTCTCTGTGGCCCGGCTTACTCGAGGGGAGTGTGGCCGAACCAATAGCGATGTCAATGCCGACAAGAATTCATTGATGAAGCAGTTTGCTCTTGGGGTGAAAGTAATTAAGGCGTACCAAGAAATCGTTTTTTGACTAATATTGGTCTAAGCGAATCGTATTGAAGCTGTTTGGGGTCTAGGCATTACTTTTGTTTTTTTGTTTTGTTTTTGGTGTTTGCGGGTTGGTTGGAAGAATCATATACTTCCTCGTCCCCCGAGGACCCGACGGACCTCGACGCCATCGAGGACGATGCGGCTCCCGCGGCTGTCGCGGCTCCCGCGGCCGGACGGTCGCGGTCGGGGAAGACGAGGCCGGTAGCGGCGGCGAAGAAGCGGAACACGAAGGCCAAGGCGAAGGGGCCGAAAGCCAAGGTGAAGCCAAGGGGCGACGATGAGATGGAGGACAGATCGCAGATGAGGATCTTCAAGGTGTGGATTTTCAAGGTGTGTTGTAGGTGTATTGGTGGTTCAGTGAGTGGACTTTTGTTCTTGATTCTTGAATTAGCCCCTGAGGTGTGTCCAGACACCTCTAGGGCCACAGAGGGGCTACTCTGGAAGCAATTTCTGCCAGAGCCAATGATACACGACTCAGAGCTGAAAGCCACAACAATGCTACAAACACCAGAGGCAGAATTTGGGAAAGACTCTTGGACCAAATCAGACAGTGTTCACAATTGGAGCGACAC